AAATTAGCTCATCCTGCCTGCTAGACAATTGCAAGTGACTTTTAAATTGGGCTAGTGACAATTGCAGAAAGCTGCCCGAATGTCTGGTTGAAAATCCTTGCTGATGCATATTTATTTCTAAGTCAGTTATGTCGTCCATTAATGTCTAAGTTGGTTACTGTATTATATTCATTTCGTAGTTCATTGGAATTCCATGTTAAGTAGTGAACTGGGTTTTTGCTGCAAACTGATCATAATATATATGCAAGTCCACCCAGCTGTGAATGGGTACCTCGTAAGGATGGGAAAGCCACACTAACTTGGTGCGCCTAGAGGCTGCACGAGTTGTATGATGCCCAGGGAGTTGAGATTGAAAATATGATATGTTGTTGAGATTGACATCCAATGATCAAGGGAAAAACAAAACGCCTTTGAGCAGCTGAGCTGGATATTGGCGTAAAACAAATATTAGTAGATGATGATGATGATGATGATGATGATGATGATGATGATGATGATGATGATGAGCTGGATTTTGGCGTTATACAAATATTAGTAGATGATGATGATGATGATGATGATGATGATGATGATGATGATGATGATGATGAGCTGGATTTTGGCGTTATACAAATATTAGTAGATGATGATGATGATGATGATGATGATGATGATGATGATGAGCTGGATTTTGGCGTTATACAAATATTAGTAGATGATGATGATGATGGTGATGGTGATGAAGTGTTTGATAGCAAGTTAAGAACCACCACAAATGTCCAAGGACCACCACAAATGTCCAAGGACCACCACAAATGTCCAAGGACCACCACAAATGTCCATGGACCGCCACAAATGTCCAAGGACCACCACAAATGTCCATGGACCACCACAAATGTCCAAGGACCACAAATGTCCATGGACCACCACAAATGTCCAAGGACCACCACAAATGTCCATGGACCACCAAAAATGTCCATGGACCACCACAAATGTCCAAGGACCTCCACAAATGTCCAAGGACCACCAGACATCCAATCAGCTTTACCTTTGTTTAGCATAATGGTCCCAAAACATACAAAATACATTTAGTTTGACACAAAATATGCAGGCTGTTGCCATTAGTTTGGGTCGATGAAATGTGATGATGGCTGCAACTTTTTTTTGTTGACAATCATCCTGTCCTGGGAAATTGTTTAATTAATTTATATGTTGCCTTCACCATTCAATAAACACAGGAAATATATACTCCTCTCTCTGGTGGTTGTCTTGCCTCACAAGCTGTGAGCTCAGTTACATTAGTATCGTGTTCTGATAGACGTCCCTTCCTTGATTCCTGTATGTCGTGTCTGCGGGTATCTCTATACCCAGATGTTGATGGGACGTTGAGGAAAACTAGGAATTTTTTCTTGGTGTTTATGAACAGTGAATTTAGTTGTACTTGAGTATGAACAATATGAAGGCTTGTCCTTGGCCTTGCGACAAAAGCAACTGCCTTGACTGCTTTTCACATTCTATCTAGGAATTTTACTTCCTTTCCTGGACCGCCTCCGTGGTGTAGTGGTTAGAGCGTCCGCCCGGAGAGCGGAAGGTCGCGGGTTCGATCCCCGACAGCGTCATACCAAAAGACGTTAAAATATGGTACTTGTTGGTCCCTGCCTGGCACTCGGCATTAATGGGTACAACAAGGACTGGTCGGCTCGGAGTCAGTATAATGTGTCTGAGTGGGATATTCATGCTTCACTGCGGCATGGTATCTCAGTGGGCTAGCACTATAAAACCAGCTTCAGTCTGGGCTAGTACAAGCAGCCGCACATACACATACACATGCATGCATGTCGTCATATGAGCGAAATATTCTCAAGCACGACGTTAAACCCAATTTCACCTCACCTCACCTCAATAAACACAGGAAATACATACTCCTCTCTCTGGTGGTTGTCTTGCCACACAAGCTCTGAGATCAGTTACATTAGTATCGTGTTCTGATAGACGCCCCTTCCTTGATTCCTGTATGTCGTGTCAGCGGGTATCTCTATACCCAGATGTTGATGGGACGTTGAGGAAAACTAGGGATTTGTTCTTGGTGTTTATGAACAGTGAATTTAGTTGAACTTGAGTATGAACAATATGAAGACTTGTCCTTGGCCTTGCGACAAAAGAGCAACTGCCTTGACTGCTTTTCACATTCTATCTAGGAATTTTACTTCCTCTCCTGGACCGCCTCCGTGGTGTAGTGGTTAGAGCGTCCGCCTGGAGAGCGGAAGGTCGCGGGTTCGATCCCCGACCGCGTCATACCAAAAGACGTTAAAATATGGTACTTGTTGGTCCCTGTCTGGCATTAATGGGTACAACAAGTACTGGTCAGCTCGGAGTCAGTATAATGTGTCTGAGTGGGGTATTCATGCTTCACTGTGGCATGGTATCTCAGTGGGCTAGCACTATAAAACCAGCTTCAGTCTGGGCTAGTACAAGCAGCCGCACATACACATACACACGCATGCATGTCGTCATATGAGCGAAATATTCTCAAGCACGACGTTAAACCCAATTTCACCCCACCTCACCTCACCTCACCTCACCTCACTTCCTCTCCTGTATGCTAGGATTTATTAGTATTTGCTTGTTACAAAGGTGCGCTAATTTACTGTTAAGAGTTGCTTCCCTTTGCTGTGCCAGAATCCAAGTTTGCTTGGATTACGGTTTGATGGCACCCTGCACGATCTCAGGGTTCTCTCCAAAGTTGTAAGGGTCGAGGCCTCCATCATTTTGGGCGGACCTCCGACATCACAGATAAACTGCCCTGTCACTAATAAACTGCACAACTTTTAAATATTACTCACTGATTGGTGACTTGGGTTTGATGCCTCTTTGAACAGCATTACAGGGAGTGTAGGCTCTGAAGTGTTGACTTAGAAATTTAGAATTTGGGGAAACCCATGAGAATGGATGTGGTGCTGACAGAGAAACAAACATTTTCAGGGTAACCAGGAATCAAACCCAAAGAATGGGTTTTTAGTGAGCCGAGAAATGCAGTTTGATGAATCATGACGCCTTTTATGACTTGGACACCCCAAGCAGTTGAGGCAGTGTGTAGTTCTTGAATGCCAGTTGTCAAAGTCCATTAGTACATGCAGAAAAACGTCACTTGGAGTGACAGGTAGCTGGGAACTATCTGTGAGGACGTGTTACACTTATTTGCTTCCTTATTTGCAGTTCTGTAGATGTAGATCAAGTTTTGACATTGAGTAGGCAGGGATTGGCCCTTGTTATACGGCTAGCTGGGTGGTTGAGCACACACAGGTTGTTTGTTTGCCGCTCAAACTGTACAGGGTTGCTTTAACAACAAGGATATGGCTTCTTCTAAGTATAGGCAGCAATATATATACATTTTTTTTTTTTAATGGGTATGTTCAGGTGATATGTGAGTGAGTTTAGTTTTATTCCGCACTGAGCGATGGTCCAGCTATATGGCGGCGGTCTGTAAATAATCGAGTCTGGACCAGACAATCCAGGAATCAACAGCATGAACATCGATGTACGCAATTGGGATACGATGACATGTGGTAACCCAGTCAGCGAGCCTGGCCACTCGATCCCGTCAGTCGCCTCTTACGACAAGCATGGGTTACTGAAGATCAATTCTAACCCGGACCTTCACGGGTCTCGGGTGAAATGTGGGGTGGTGGAGTAGCCTAGTGGTTAAAGCGTTGGCTCGTCACGCCAAAGGCCCGGGTTCAATACCCCACATGGGTACAATGAGTGAAGTCCATTTCTGGTGTCCCCTGCCGTGATATTGCTGGATTATTGCTAAAAGCGGCATAAAACCTTACTCACTCCCTCACTCTCTCATGTGATATGTAGAGTGGACATTGATATTGCCATTCACTTGACATTGTGCATTAACTGTTTCATGAAACATACAACTGTATGGATAACAATTGTGAGAATCTGCACTGAAACGTCACTCTATGCAATAAACAAGTTTCCCTTAAAGTCGTATGCTTTATTACTGTGCATTAAGTAATTGCTTCAAGCATTCTGAATAACCGCCCGGAGAGCGGAAGATCGCGGGTTCGATCTCCGACCGCGTCATACCAAAAGACGTTAAAATATGGTACTTGTTGGTCCCTGCCTGGCGCTTGGCATTAATGGGTACAAGGACTGGTCGGCTCGGAGTCAGTATAATGCGTCTGAGTGGGGTATTCATGCTTCACTGCGACATGGTATCTCAGTGGGCTAGCACTATAAAACCAGCTTCAGTCTGGGCTAGTACAAGCAGCCGCACATACCCATACACACGCATGCACGTCGTCATATGAGCGAAATATTCTCAAGCACAACGTTAACCCCACTTTCACCTCACCTCACCTTCTGAATAACCAGACAAGACTATTAACATTAAGCAGCTTGAAACAAGACCCAGAGAGGTCACAATGTGGCATATCTGAAGACTAGCCAAGTGTTACATCATGCTGTTGCATTTCCAGTTATCTCCCTTTACATACTAGTTATCTCCCCTGGGGATGAATCTTTATCAGATGGTTAGATCATATGTTGTATTTATCATCAGTCAGCATCATTAGATTGCTCTAATATTGATCAGTTTAACCTACAGCTATTTCACCTGTACATATCATTGCCTCATTGTGTAGACAATTACTTTACACATGTATGCTGTTACCGTAACCAATAGTACAGAAAGCTGCTATCTCTATGTCCACCTACTGATTAGTAGAATACTAGAATTCTCTGGTCGGGAAAAAGGGAAAAATTATCACCTGAAGCAGTATATAAAAGCAAATTTATTTAAGAAATGGCACTGTTTGGTTACAACTACTGAAAGGAGTGAAATATTTCGAATACCCAACAGAACTATAAGTACCTATTGTATGCATGATAACGTGTTTAATTCTCAATTCCTCAGAAATTTATAGCACTGCATTGACTCTTCACTGAGCCATTCTGTTCTGTAGATGTTGATTTCCATTTAAACCTAATTCTCTATTTTTATTTTTCAGATTTTATTCTGCACATTAAATACACACAAGATAGATATGACTAAGTTATTAGGAGGGCAAATAGGCCTAGACGACTTCATATTTGCCCACATAAAAGGTCGGCCAAAGGAAGTGGATGTCACGAAATCTGAGGATGCCCTTGGACTGACTATAACAGATAACGGTGCTGGCTATGCCTTCATTAAGAGGATCAAGGAAGGGAGCATCATGGATAGTGTACCGCTGATCGCTGTAGGAGATCATATCGAGAAGCTTGATGGCAAAAGTCTTGTGGGATGCCGACATTACGAAGTCGCGAAGATGCTCAAGGAGATCCCAAAAGGAACGACGTTCACGCTGAGGGTGGTGCAGCCAGAGATGTCAGGCTTCTGTAAGTAGATGTTACAGCACATCCTTTATTATCCTGGGCCCCGTTTCACAAAGCTCTCGTAAGCCTAAGATCTCATAACGTTTCTCGTAGCATTCGTACCTCCTACACTGTAACATTGACTTACGATAGTCGTAGTGCTATGAGAGCTTTGTGCAGCGGGGCCCACGGTAAATTCTTCATTTGATTGAATAATTACCTGTAATCCCCTGCCACCATACCTTTGTTTTCAGTGCTGTTAAAATAATAGAATGTTGAAAAACTGCACTATTCTTCACTATTGAATTGGTGGCAATATCAAAGGTATTTGACTTATCTTATTGTGATATATGGAATTGTGAATTAGAGGGGGCAGTAGGGTAGCCAAGTGGGTTAAAGCATTCGCTCATTACGCCAAAGACCCTGGTTTCATTCCCCACATGGGTGCAATGTGTAAAGGTCATTTCTGAATATTGCTCAAAGTGATATTGCTGGAATATTGCTCAAAGCAAAAATAAACTCACTCACACACTCTCATCTCAGGTGCTGCAGACTTGCCGTTAGAGATCAGTTTTTGAATCCCGGTCGGTCCCAGTTGTGTTTCTAGGTTAGGCCAGACCAATTTTATTTCTTGTTTTACTGATGCCCCTGTTGTATTTTTGTCAAGAATAAGAAAACAAATAAGAATTACTTTTCCCCGCTCAAAAAATAAACCCTAATGTTTTATCACCCAAAAATGTAAACTTACAAGAAAAGGTTTTTCTTATTGTTTTTTGCCCATATACACTTCATAAATTGCCACAGAATACTTTTAATATTTAGAAGGAATATTACTTTGACTGGTGATTTTATTTATTTTATTTTTTTCCTCCTGCCTTTAGGTTTTCTGAGGACAAAACTCCATATAACAAGAAATAAAACTGGTCTGGCCTTAGCATCGTACACATTATTTTTGGTTGAACCAAACTGGTAGCCGTATCACTGCTAGCCGTTTTTCACCAACAAAAGCTGGTATACTCTTCAAAGCCACATAAAACCCAACACACTCACTCAGACACATAACTTTGATTCTGCATATTGCACGTGACACTTTTAGAGGGGTATCGGTCCATGCATGTAGTATACAGCTATTTTCAGAGGTGTTGAAGCAAAATAACTTCATTTGTTAAGAAGACTTGTCTCTGTAGATTGTCTGGGATGTATCTGGAATCTAGGAAATATTTCTGAACCAACTTACTGTGTTCTCAAAACTATAAGAGTAAATTGTCAATTTTCTTCGAAGACAATATTCTGTTGTATCAGCAGGTCAGTTTTATTTTCTGCCAGAGCTATTTTTCTTTTACATTAGTAATCAGCTGGAATTGTCTTGCATCACAGCTGACACATCTGTTTTATTTGACATGTTGGATCAGAAAACTGCATCAAAACTTTGCCCTCCTGCCTCAAATAAAACCTTCCTATGGCTTGTCTCATTGAACAATGACCTTCACCTTGTTTATGTAGAGAGTTACTTTACAATAATTCCCAACTGTTTCATAGAAAACAGCATCTGTTACACAACACATTTACCATTATCTTCAATTTAAATCAGTAACAAGAAATAAGATATTTTGTTTTTTGAAGGAGACAACTTTCTGATTGTGTCATTTCTCAAAATGCCATTTTCAGTTCTTCACTCAGTTTAACATTATTTGTATTTTCTAATCACTAATTGCAAAGTTTTGGTGAAGTATCTGCTCTTGTCATTTATGATTTATAATGTTTTTTTAAGTTTGACAATGTTCCTAATTTAGTTGCTGTGGCCTTATTATTGAGCATCCCATTGCTAACTGTCAAATTTGTTTGCTTTCTTTTCCATCGTGCTCTTTGGTTCAGCCAATCTGGGTAAATACAGTTTGAGTGGTGTCTGTCGAGTAGCTCGTGCCTCTCAGCTTCTTGTTGTACTGTATCTCGCTGTATCTGTGTCTGGTTGTAGAGTTCAATGCACTTCTAGTCAAAAAATTCCAAAGCAAAGACACTGTGTCCTTTCTGTGATTTATGTACTGTAAAACTTGAAATTAATACGAACGTGTGGTCTTTGTTTGCCTCGGTTGAATGTTGCATTTATGGATCAAAATTGACTGATGGCAAGATGGCCGCCACTGGCTTACCGCAGGTGATGAACAAACTTTGTGTATGAAAAAATTGAAAATAGTGATGTCATTTTCTCTAAGGAATTCATCTGCTGTGGGGGTAATTTGGCATTAATATGAGTTGCATTTTTAGTTTTGGGTGAGATTAAAATTAATTCAAATTGTCTTGTTTAATTTCAAGATTTACAGTTAATGATTATTCATGTGGTGTGGGATATTAAAAATTGAAACAAAAGTGTGTTGAGGATTTGTTAGGGAATTGTAATCCAGTTTTGCTGAGGCTTTAAAATTGGCACCATCCATGCATGACACCATCTCTTCACTATCAAAATGTTGTGTCTGGAACAGGCATTGCAAAACTATGCAATTCTTCTTCATCAAACTTGGTACATGAATAGTTCTAGATGGGAACTATGGCTTTTCGATCATGTGTGAAGTTTAGTGTTAAGTTTCATTTATTTATTCATGACAACTATTAACCTTTACGAGGGATATCGATGACTTTGCCTTCTTGCTGGTGTTGTTCTGAAACCAATTTCTGCATTGTAATGGAGATGACACAATGAAGGTTTAAAATGCCCGAGAGAGATTGTGTTGACTTCAGTGAACCAGTGTGATGGTATAACCAACCATGTAATGAACTAATCATGATCTTTTATTGATCCTCGGCTCATATAAACAGGTTCAAAATGATAAACATATATCTTATCCATTTTGCTTAATAAAGATAAAAATAGGTTTTGTTGATACACAGGAAGATGGTAGATCTGTGACGAACATGTGTTGACATATGTGATTTGAAATGGTCGAATGTGTTCATTATTTGAAAACATTCCAACTGGGAAATTAATCTCCAAGTGTTGTGAGAAGTTCTTGAACACAATCAGACAGTTAATCCTGCATGAGCTGCTCGTCATGGTTGTGTGGGTTATACAGAATGTGTCTGTTGTTTGTTACATTTCCTTCACCATTAAGCATTAGGAGCATCATCATCATCATCATCATCATCATCATCTTTCAGAGAATCCGTAATTGATTGTTGAAGAAAATGAATATCATTTTCGCAGATTAAAACAGCCACTCTGACTAGATTATTTAATGACCCTACCCTACTAATACAAAATAAGCCCACAATTGACACAGTGCATTGAATCATTTAAAATAGAAATAAATTGTCAGGGATGTTGTAAGCAATTTGATAATGACACCTTTCAATGCTCAGCTACAAAATTCCTGGGAAATTAGAATCCTGCGTCAGCCTCAAGTGTCCATTGAAAATAAGCAAGAACATTTTTCCTATGGGTTAATGTAGTGTTAATATGTTGTTGAGTGTTGAGAGAAACATCAATATGATATTTAATGATCTCTTTTATTTACATTGACAAATACCACCAGTTCCAAAACAATCCAAAGAACAAAGTAATTATTTTGTTCAGGCCTAGCCAGTCTTAATGCAGGTCATCAAAGTCACCCTACTCATCTCGTCATAGCCATGCTACATTGTAAGACTCGGCATCTCGGTGGTGTGGGATTGTCAGGAGAATAGCATCTGAAGCTACAACATGGCTGCATGCCGGCAAGGTACATCCTGAGATGACACACCTGCCAATATGTTGCCATAGCAACTCAGGTGATGTAGAGGTTCCCTGTACTGATATGCCAAGATAACAAACTTATCTGATAAACTCTGTGTTTTTGTAGATACCAAGGTTAATCATTTGTAACTCAGGTGAATGTGTTGAAAAAATATACTATCAATTCTGTGCAAGGTGAACAGGTTTAGACATGAAGTGATGGATGGTGGATCCAAGTATTGAATGACTCCTCAGGCGGCTGTCGTATAGCTGCACGTATTGTCATGAAGGATTATGGATGACTTTATAAACTGTATCATGAGCCAGCGATGTTGACAATATGGATGTGACAATGCTTGATGCATTGCGACTCACGACAGCAGATCGGGATCAATGCCATATGATCGCGGAGTATACTAAGAAGGATATTACAGATATGGAAATGAGAAGGAAAGATAATTGCACATCAATATTAACAGCTAGGTAGGAGACTTAATTGATTTCTGTTGGTTCCCTTGCATCACGCATGCACCGTGCCCTTTGTCGTCCTGGATTTCAAATAAATAGGGATCAGTGAAGGGTTTTAAGGAGGTGTTACCCCGTCAATAGTAGCATACTGTCAACTGCTTTCATCTCAACAAAAGAAAAGGAATTTGTTGAGACAAGGAGAGTATTGTTTATTGAAGAAAATCTCATTATGTAAGCTTCTATTGCATGATTTATCAAGGTTTGAAGAAAGTGGTAATAGTGTTGATGGGGCATTCTTTTGTAAATCAGATCTCAGATTACATGAGATTACTCCATGTATGATAACTCTGGATGAAGATTTGAGGACAGAGGTTGTGCCAAGTCATACTTATAGGCTTCTAAATTCTCGATATGACCGAGCAAAGGATTCCAATGTGTCGTTTTGTTTTCCTCAGAAACAATCTTAACTGACCATCCCCGGTGTAATAAGGACTGCAATGTTATCTTTTTTGTGGATGTTTTATACATCCTGTTGTCTGTGAGGTGTGTGGAATCTTCACCGAGAGGGAGTAGCATCCGAGGCATTTTTGTGTCCTGTGTGGGTCTCAATTTGTTAAAAATAGAATTTTCAAATTAAATTGGTAAAAAAATGAAGACGAATCGTTCGAGAAAGCTGGCGTCTGATTATCATTCTTTTTATTCGGTGTGGAAGGAGGTGGCCCAGAATTGGGAGCAAACCTCCTGTGGATTTGTCCTGAGATATTAACATGGAGAGTTATCATGGGGAGTGCATGGTGTGATTTTTATCTATTGTGTATCCAGTGATGTTTTATTTTTTTTTGTACAACAT